GCAACCTTCTGAAGAGTCACAATAAATTCATCAAAAAACTAAAATGAATGCACATATATACTTTTCAATTCATATGATACCTCGGATTTGATGAATGCACATATATACTTTTCAATTCATATGATACCTCGGATTTGCTATAAACGGTTTAGGAAAATGAAAGAACTTTGGAAGAAATATGTAAATCAGTCACTATTCTGTTTTTCTTTTTTTTTTTTTCACTTGAATTGTGAAATAAATGAAAAAAATGGCAGCTACAACCCTTTGAACCAAAATAATTTTGTTCAGAACAATAGAGGTTTGACTGCAGTTTGTTTACAAATTAGAAATTACAATGAATTCAATAGGATTTACAGGGATGTAGCCGCTGAATCTTGGTCTAATTCCTATAGATAATTTCAATATCTTGAGAAATGATACGGACTAAATGGAAACAATTGGGAAGGGGACCAGAATGGAAAAATAATTTCTCTATCTCCTATCCTGCTTTCCGCCACAAAGCTGCAGTTCTGACATATTTTCAGCATCTATGTAGCAAAATCCCCCTGATGTCTTTGATTCCATGCTTCTAACTGAAGACCCACCAAGAAAAGAAGATTGAGAAGAGAATTGGGAAGCTGCCATGGATAAGGAGCAGTGATTCCAGGTGCTTTTCTTGGAAAAAAATATATTCCTTGAGCGAGAACAAGCAGAAGAGCAAACACCCTTCAAGTTGTGTAAGGCACATCTGCAGTTGCAATGTTATGGCCTCCGCTCGACCTTAATTTCTTGTATTACCAGGCTTCCTTCAAGGACACAACGGAGCACCATCTCAGCTGCTGCTCCAGTGGCCATCCTCTGCTCTCTCTCTCTCTCTCTCTCTTCCCCTCTTCTAAATCTCCTGTCTCTTTCTTCCTGATGTGTTTATATATATAAAGAGAAGGAAAAAATAGGAGAAATAAGAAAATTGAACTAGAGGCAAATAGAGGAGCTGGTTTAAGTAGTTCAACTTCAGTCTTTCACGCTTAGGAAAAAAAGGGCCGGTCTTTTGTGGGAATATATGGAAATCAATGGCTTGACTTAGCTTGGTTGGCTTGGCTTGACTTGGTTAGATTTAGTTAGCAACGACTGGTTCTTGGAACTTTTTATCGCATGAAGTTGGGGTAATTTTCTCATAGATTTTTGCCGTTGCAGCTAAGATGTCCTTTTTGACTAACTGGTTATGAACTGAAAATGAATATTTAATGGCCCTTTTTTTTTTTTTGTGAGACGGACGACTATTTCTACGTATGCAACAGAGTATCCAATTTTCAAGTCTATAATATATGTACTTCAAGGAGGCCTAATCTTCAACTGGTTTTGGTTTTTGTTCTGTTTTTTAACCTGTACTTTCTTCCCAACCTGGCAGAGGTGACCTCTAGCAGTTTCTATTGTTCATTTGTTGTCACATGCATGACTCATTTACTTTCTCATATTCATGCAAATATAAAAGGAACAGGCAACAAGCTCAATTTGAGTCCCTTCTCCTTCTGGTTTTGCATAAAAAACTATTGAATTATGAATGTATTTTGTAAGTGGATCCCTCTTTGAATTAAAAGGCAAATAGATTCAGAAGATTAAGTAGCCGTATCGGGAGCTCAGTGCCTCACGTGAAGTTTTTGATGTTTTTCCTTCCTCTTTTTAGATCGTTGGCATAGACAATCTGCATATGTCACATGATTGGATCTTGAATTTTCAGTTTGTATATTTTGTTCTGCCCTTGTGGGCACTGCAACAGCTAAGCTATATGTTTCTTCTCATCAGCATTTTATTTCTCCCCCTATTTTCCTTATTTTCAGATCGCTGTTGTAACAATAAAAACTACTGAGCTGCCTTCCTACTCAGCATTGAACTGTTTATCAACAATCAATTTTTAAGTGAAAATTTACCAACTCTGTCTAATGCTGTTATATGAACCTGTGAGATAGCTAAAGTGCATGCATTCATGCTCAAGGAACATATTAGAATCCTCCTTGCCCATAATTTTTTAAAAAATGTCAATTGGGTAGAGCCATGGAATGTTGAAACTTTTATCCTTTTTCCAGCTTCATGGAAGGAGTTAGTGAGCTACAGTTGAAGAATATAACACTCTGGCGGCTGGTTAGGGAATGCAGTCCCCCATTGACAGCTGGGTTTCTAGATGTATCATGATAAAGTACACGCTGGGTTCAGTTGACTGCAAGAGTACTTTTTGTCAACTTTTACATTTTGGGTCGGCTAGGAATCCATCCAGCTAAGCAAATGCTTTTGTTTCCCTTTGCTTTCTTAACCCATCTTTATGCATTCTTGTTCAAAACACGTCTAATTAGGTATCCAATTCCTAACTCCCAACTTCTTTACCTTCTTTTCACTATGATATTCATATCTTCTTCAAAAAGGTTGAACCTATTTTTAGTTCTTTTCATCAGCCAATTAAATTTCACTGAAAACTTCTAAAAATAATAATGACATTTTATATAATATAAAATGCTAAATTTTGATTTTTGTTATACTGTATTTTTGGTTAATTTATAAAATGGCATGAAAACAATACTTTTTTTGGTACAATGAAAACAGTATTTCGACATTAACAAAATGATTTTGAAAAGCTAATTATTAAAGTTTAATTTACTTGAGTAGCAAATGACATAATTTTAATTTACATTTTGATATCAATCCATCATATGTGGGTCACTATTTTTTTGTTTAATTTCTTTTTTTAAGTTACTCAAATCCAAATGTAATTTCCTTTTATTTTTTAATTAACAAGATAAAATATAACTGCTCAACTTTCTATTTGTATTCATTTTTTTTTCGGATAACTAATTTATATTCATATCTCCTTTTTATTTGGATAATCATTTGTATTTATATCTCTTCTCTAATATGGATAAGTAATTTGTATTCATATCTCATTCCACATTTACCACATATATATATATATAATAAATCTTTTAATTTGGACCTTCACAGATATGTGTGTAATTTTTATGTTACACAACCATGAATAGAAACTCTTAAACTTCAAAAACAAATTTGGTTCGGAAAAGGAAAATGTACATATTTGTTTTTTTTTTTTTTAACATAAGATAGACATGGAAAAGATTTAAATAAAGTTTATTAGATGAAGTTCATGATGTTTTCTACTATAAACAATTAAATGAAAACCAAAATAAAAAATCAAAATCGATAGATTAAAATATCTTGTTACATAAATTAAGTGTATAATATTTCAAAAAATTTAGTAAATTTATATATATATATGTATATATTTGGATAGATATTTTTAATAAAAATATTGATAAAATTTTTATCATTAAATAAATATCTATTAAATTTGAATTATAAATAATATTTTTCTTATTTTTATATATTATTGATTTTTATATTAAATTCTACCAATTTATCGGTTTGAATTTTTTATTAAATCATTTAAAAAAAAACTTTACACAACTCATTTAAAAAATTACATATAATTTTTTTCTGAATAAATATAGCTCATAGAAGAAAAGAAGAAAATCTTGGTTTGGTAATCAAAACTTCTGTTTCTTTTTAAGAATTTCTTAACCATTAGACCAAAAGCTAACTATTTTTTTTTTCTTGTAGAATGAAATAGTGACTTTGCTGATCTTGATCAAGTATACTCTGAATTCTAGCGGAAATGAAAAGAGAAGAAAGAGTACTTTGTACTTGGACCCAGGCCCAACGCTTGGAATCAATATTTGGGACACATGCTGCCCATGTTTCATGTAAACAAAAAAATAAAAAAAATAGAAAAAAAAAATCAATTAGTGGGTCATTTGCATTTTTGTCTAATGCTGTATTGATGTCAACAACTCACTTACCCATTGCCCACCGCCCAAACAGCTTAATTCACCTCCATTTTGATTTTTCTTATGAAGCTTCTTCAAACTGTGAAGAAGAGAGCATTGCTTTCCCACTATCTTTTTTGTTCCATTTTGGTCCGTTCTGCCGTTATTTACTTGGAAAAAGGTAAATTGAGGAACCCCGCAAAGATTTATTTTAGTTCCCTTTTAACTTGTATTCGAATAAAATAAACACGTAGTTAATTAGTCAAGGGATGCATCGAACTAAGCAGCCGACCATATATGACCAACGGGATTATAAAGTTGGATGTGCCAAAACCCAAAAAGACAAATGAACGACATTTCCAATGGCTTTTTTTTTTTTTTTTTCATTTTTTATAAAATCTTTTTCATACTAATCTTGATCATATCTTCACATCACATTATGGTAAAATATTAATTAAATGCAAAAAAAAAAAGAAGAGTTTTAAGGTTAAAAATTTGTTGATGTTGAAAGATACCTTGGAAATAAAACAGTAAAAAGAATGATGATGATGATAATAGTAACTAAAATTTGGAGACGTACGATTTCAGTAAGCAGACATAGATATTTCAGGAAGTTTCTCCAAGATATACGCTCTCTTGTTTTCTTTATGTCAATTTCGAGATTAACTTGCATAACTCAAAAGCAAAAAACGTGTTTTAGAAGTGCCTACTTGGAAACATTCTCCACGTTTCTTGGTTGGCACTTATCAACTATCAACAAAATAAAAGAAAAATTATGTTAAAAACTTAAATATACTAAATTTCTATAACTTGTAACTTAATTGATTCATATATTACATTTTAAGACGACATGAAATATGTTTAATATCACTAATCCTTCCCACATCCTCAGATTGTTGTATCTTTTATAAAATAATAATAATAACTTAAATATAATTTAACTCCTTATTAAGAACTTAAATTTTTGAGATAATGAATCACTTAAATTTCTCCTTAACATGTTTCTTTTTAAACATAAGAAAGAAGACTACAAGAGTAAGATTTTTCATGAAGCAAATTCAAGACTTGTTCTCATATTCTAACTGATTCCTTTCCATGATTAATTGAAACAATACCATTATCAAACATTCAAAACCAAAGAAGTAAACGAGAAAAAAATAACAAAATGTTGTATATACTCTAACATACACAGATGAAAGGATTTTATATATAAAAAAATTTTTAACACAAGTACAGAGCAGCCAATTTTGATTTAGGCCATTCTTTTTGCCATAAATATTGGATTTACTAGTCCAATTAATCAAAAAAGATGGCATTAATCAAAAACCTTCTCAAAACCTTCCAATGTTTTTACAATCAATAATTAACAGAATTTCCTTACCTCATCACCCTATGATCTGCACTTATTCTAAAACCAGAACAAAAACATGATCCCAGTATCATAAAAAGGCCAAAGTTTATTCATTCCCTTTCTTATTCAATTTCACACCTTAGCCGTTGCCAGTTGATTATCTTCCTCCTCTTCTTTATATGATTCCAATTGCTGCTTCCCAGGCCCATGAACCCCAGCCAAAACCGGTGAAGAAGACGGAGAAGAATGACAATAAGCTGCTGCCATGGCCAAGCATCCCTCACTCCAAGATCTCCTCATAGGGTAAGACACGTTCTTGCACTTTGGGAATGCACGGGAACAATTCCCGCGTGACTTGTCGTGGAGGGCACAGCGGCAGTTCCGGTGGTACGGCCGGCGCTCCATTCCGATGTCGCAGCTGGAGATGCTCCCTTCGTAGAGCGACCGGAAAAGTCCATCCGTAGCTCCAGTGGCCATGTTCCTCAATCAGCGCAACCACAACTTGTCTTACAATTTGCCTAACCTTTCTATGTAATGGAACAATGGTGGCATTTATAGAAAGTAGTTACGGTAGTTAAATAGGGGGAAAGACAAAGGGCTAATTTGTTGGGAAGCGGCACATGCGGTAATGGCGTGGGGCATCAGCGTTGTGGGAGCCGTGTTTTGAGGGTCGGCCCATAGACTTTTTAGCATATATCCATGTTAACTTTTGGGCCTTGTTTGTCTTGTGAGGAAAGATAAGAAGAAAAAAAAAAAGAATTAGGAGAGAAAATAATAGAAATTGGGGAAATCACCGACAAGAAACATCTTAGGTTGTCTCAAAATGCATTGCAGTCTTACTTTATTGACTAAAATTCTTTTAGGGAAAATGTTTGGTATGATTTATAAATTTTTCATCCGTGTTAGAATTTATCATAGTTTATGGGATTAAAAAGAAAAATGAAATCTTCAAATATGAAGCTCTATGTAAATTAAGATTGGATTCCATATGTACTAAAAGGATTATTATCCTTAACCCTTCCCTTACTAAGCTGCTTATAAGTTACAATGGCAGCAAAACAATATCGAGGCAACCTGATATTGATGCTTTAAGTAGGATTTTTGTTACATGTTTGATCATTGATGGGCAAATTATTCTTCAAAACCTGAAAATGAGTAGTCAAACAGCAGTACTGGAGCTTAATTTCTAGAACAATAATATACAAAGTAAAGGTGAAATATTGCTGAGTTTAGAACAGTCAGATCCATCCACAAAAACCTCCAGGAAAGAGTAGTACTCCAGCAATGCATTAGAAATTAAGTCACAAGACCAGATTTTAATGATTTTAGTTTTACATGATTAAAATTATTACAGATAATACATTCTTTTGGTGCTTTTTCTAGTTTGTGCTTGAGAGAGAGGATCAACTTGCTTGAACAGAAAGATAACTTGTCAGTGAGAAAGTAGAAATGTTTTGGTATCTTCAAAATCAAGATAAAAGATATGGTAAAATCAAGAGAAAATGTGCAAAAATTTATTGCTTCAATGAAATGCATGGCAAATATTATATATTGTGTCCTGTATTTTGCTGCTTACAATATTTCATACCTACTTCACCAGCTGGGGATTGCTTGATGATTTTAGAAATTAAGACAAGCTACATGTGGGCTTTATGCAGGATTTATCTATCAACCTTCATGTGACTTATGTACACCCCCTTCTACAAATATATATACATATATATATATATGAATAATTTATAATAATATTAACAAAGTTTAATAATCTCAAAAAATGGTAAAGATAAATCTGATAACATCTAGGTTTAGTTTGATTGATGCTTTCATTATTTATTTTTTGCTATTTGTCTCTTATTTTTTGTTTATTTTTTATTTTTTTACTTTTCCACTTTATATTAAAAAAATGTAATCCTCTTACTTTTTTTTCCCTCACATCTAACGTTTTCTTTTATGCTTATAGCCAAAAAAAGAAAGTAACTTTCATTTCCTTTTCTTTATATATATAAAAAAAATGGCTTACGTGTTAATTGATGAGAGATAATCATTTCAAAAATTATAATGATTTACAGATAATGATTAAATCATTATGTTGATTGAGAATTCGATGATTTTATATTATAATAATTTTAAATCATTATAAAAATAATTAGATCATTATTTCGAAAGATGATTTAATTATTCCCATAAAAAAGTGAAAAAGTTTTATCATTGAAGTGAAATAAGTTGTAAAATTAATATAATCAATACTATTTATTTAATGTGTGAATTAAAAATTTATTTTCTTTCAAAATTATAATTTTTTTATATTATAAATTTTTTCTTTTCAAGATAATATTCATTGTATCAAATTCAAAAATAAATTGCATGATTTCTTTTTTATTTTTTAATGTTATATATAATTTTTTTGTTTTTCTTTTAGTATAATTTTAATCTAGATTTAGTTTTATTTTTTAATTCAAATAGTTTTTTACATAATAAAAATTAATTTACCTATAAATAAATTTATTTATTAATTTAATAATTTAGTCATACCTTATTATGAAATTAACAAAATATTAATAGTATTTTATAAATGGTATTTTAAAATAATATTAAAATTATTAAGTTGTGTGACTATTACAATATGATTATTTTGATATTTTTAAATAAAATAATTTTTAATTTTTAATAATTCAAACACATTTATGTTTGATTCTTTAAAATTAATAATTGTTAATCAAATAAAATAATTTCAAATCATAAATAATAAGACCACTATAATAATAAAATCATCTTAATAATGTTAACAATGATCATATTAAAAGATGCATTAATTTATCTACTCTTCAAATAAGGTAGATATAACTAGGGAAGGCAAAAAAATTTGTACCCGACGGGTTTCGGTTCGACCCGATTTTTTAGGATCGATTTTTTTTTTTTTTGAAAATCGGAGGTCGGGTCGGGTCGGGTAGCATGAAGACAAAGTCGGGGTCGGGTTTTAGGCAAATCCAACCCTACTCGACCTGATATATATATAAAAATAATTTTTTAATTAATTTTTTAATTTTTTAATTATATATATATTTATATAATGATATTTTTAAATATTTATATTTAAAAAATAATATTTTATTAATTTTGGATCGAATCGGGTCGAATACAGTTTATATAGTGTCGGGTCGGGTTCGGGTATGAAAAAATAAAAAAATTTTCGAGTTGAGTCGGATTTAAATTTTTTAAGTATTAAATCGGATCGAGTTCGGGACGGGTGATGCCAACCCTAGATATAACCTTGGCATCTAAGCTTCTAAATTATCTGTCTCCTTTTCGTCTAGCAATTAGCACCTGATTTATTATTACTGCAGCTTGTTAGAACACATTGAGCCGACTTAAAGCCGCCCAAAGGAACATCTTTTACAGGGCCATAAAGCTTTTCTGTTGTGGGCTAAGCTGTTTCTCTTTTAGGTAACATGTTGTAAGCTTAGCCTAATTCAAGCTTTCTTTTTTTTTGATAAAATGAGGCAAAACTTAAGAGGATCCTATTATATAACCGTGAAAAATAAAATGATACAAGTCCCTATTTCTACCTTTTCTCTTACAAAAATTTAATTTTGGCTTATTAATAAGTAATAACTCCGTTAGGAGTTCCAAGTTCTGAACTTGTAAGTGAGATAACGTGTCTACCCGTTCGATTCACCGACATATAACATTCCCGGATTCCATCATGTCCGTGCACGTCATCCCCATGGACCCACGGAATGAGGCTGACCCCGCAAAAACAAACATCCATAAACGGCCCAGATGGACCCTAGAATATTGAACACAAAGAAAACTGAAAAAAAAAAAAAGGTCTCTCATCAATTTTGTTTCCTTTGTGCCTTGTCTTTGAGAAAAGAAGACAAAGCTTGATTTGATTGATAGGCTAAACGGCAGCCATGGCAGGAGGCGGAAAGGAGAGAAGATCAAATAAAAAAAGCAACAACAACCATAATAAAACGAAGAGTAGCAGAGGAAAATCAAGAACTGAACCCAAACCTTCATCTACTCGAATCAGGAGCTCTACTTTTGTGGAGGGTGGTCTTTTATCAGATTGGCAGTTTGATTCTCAAGGTCGTCTTCTCTTATCTTCCTTGAAATATTTCCCTTTTTTACTTTCTGTTTGCTTGCTGAGAAAATGAAAATTTGAAAAACAAACTGAACTCGATCTTTTCTTCATTTGGAATTGTTAAAGAAATCCAAAAGAAAAAGAAACTGAGCCCAAATTTTATTTCTCTATTAAATTTCTGCAACGGTTAGTTTGGTGTTGTAATAGTCGAAAAACTGTTGCTTTTGGGTGTCGAGTTGAGGAAGGAACCGAAATATCAAATTCTTTGTATAAGTTAATTTCTTCGAAGGTGGATGTAGGAGTTGAATTGTGAAAAATGTTTTTCTTTTGCGGTGTTGAATTGCAGGAAGGAATAGAAATGGGAAATCAAATTCTGGGTTGAATTCTGATAGAGCAAAGGCTTCTGCTTCTAAAAATGGATCATCAAGGAAGTCTAGTGGGAGTGCTATACGATATGAGTACCATTCTCTCGATCTTCAAGTATGTTCCTTTGCATACCAATAGTTGGTTGCTTATATGATTCAAGTCTTGATAAAGTTTAGTTTTGTTCCCCTCTGTAGTAAGCAGGGGGGAATTAGAGTTAGGTAAGGAAACTAGTTTGTGGTATTTGCTTGCATTTAAGGCTGATTTCGATTTCACTTACGTAAGTTATGTTTTCCACACTGAATTGGTTTGTTTGTATTGATTCATTTTTTTTCTTTTGTGTGTGCTTTTCCAAATCCTAGTTTTTGTAGTTTTGGAAATTGAGCTTCATGTTGTCAGTGTCAAACTGGGATTTTTACTAGTGTAGGTTTCTGGATTCTACTATTTTCAAGAAACTTGGAGTTTCCGTAAGAGGCTAATTGCTAAATATTGGTTTTAACAAAATTTCCCTTTTGCTCTACCAGTTATTTGAACTGAAATAATTTGTTGCAGATGAAGATTGTCTGATGCATTTTTTGTAGCAAGTAGTTCCAAAACGTCTCTGAATCTTGTCCTGTTTTTTGAGGATTTAAGTAGCAAATATGAGCCCTAGTTACTGAAGATGTCCTTGGCAAAACAAAAAACAATTTTACTGAAGGTGTCCTATTCAATAGCATAATGAGCCTTTTCTTTTCCATATTTTCTTGCCTTTTTTATTTTCTCCAGAAGGTCTCTTTTTCCCCCCTCTAGCTTGTTTTTAAGAGTTCTGTTTTATTTGTCACTATACTTGAGAGTTGAGAGGGATGATTAATCTTGATATTTAACAATCATTTTTATCTTCTCTGCCCCTGGTATAATGAAGGTAAATAAAGAAGTCTTCCTACTTTGTCTAGTAGTTTCATCCTTAAAGTTTCTCTCTTCCTGAGAAATAACTTGCACCAACACCTTATTGAAGAAATGAAGCCAAAAAACATAGTCATCTTTGCCGAGTAGATTCTAATGATTGTTTTGTATGTGGATGTCTAGAAGGATCCAGAATCAGGTGTTCAGGCACATATGGGAGATAATAAAATGGATGAGTCACAACCTATTGTTTTGCTTGATTCAAAGGAGAATGAAATCATTGCTTACATGGATCAAACCACACCTTCAAAGCCTAGTCATGTAAATTATACTTATGAATACAGTTCAGATTTTGTGCTAGGTGATAGATCTCATAGAGGATTGGGTTTTGATGATGAATCCGAGGCAACCCCCAGTGGAATTAAGTCATGTACAAAGCAAATGGAAGAACAAGAAGGGGAATGTTCTCATTTATCATCCTCTGAGAAGGAAATGGATGCTGGTCATGGTAATAATAGCAAGGTGGATGCACAGGTGGCTCAACAATTGTTTTCTGATGCATTATCCCCAAAGAAAAATTCAGGGTTTTTGTCAATTGGAGGCATGAAGTTATATACTCAAGATATGTCTAATGAAGAAACTGACGAGGACTATGATGGAGAGTCACTAGGTAATGAAAGCTCCGCGACAACTGATCAGAAGGAGCAAGATGGGAGTGATGCCTCTGAAATTTTGTCTGATGATGATTCAGATATTGATGAAGAGGTTGCAGAAGATTACTTAGAAGGAATTGGTGGGGAAGGTAGTGTTCTAGATACCAAGTGGTTGGTAGGTCAGGCTTTAGATGAATTGGATGATGATAGTTCTTCTAGTAGTTCTTTTGACGAGACATTAGAGAAGCTGGGTGGGATTGCTCTCCAAGATGCATCTAGTGAATATGGCATGCAGAAGTATCAGTCAAGAAAGAAATACTCTGGAGGTTCTAAAGATGCTTGGTCACCAGCTTTGGATGATCTTATGGTAGTAAAGGATCCAAGAAGTGTGTCTGCTAAAACAAAGCATGTTGCCAGGTTTCCTCAGTCTTGGCCTTTACGGGAACAAAAGAGTAAATATTCCAGAAAATTTCCTGGTAATGATTTTTTGTTATGGTTATCCTTATCTATATGCATTTACTCTTCAGTGTGAATAAAAAATCATTTTCTTCAGGTGCTTCTGTTCAGATTGTGTCTGGAAAGTCATTGGATGTGTGGTTGTGATTTTGGAAAACTTTAATGAAAGGCAAATAAGTAAAACAAGGAAATTGACTAGATAGAAATATAAAGCTCCATATAAAGCTCCTTTTTTTCCTTTTCTTTTTACTGCTTGTGATAAATTATATTCTTTGTACCTTAAGTATTTTAGGCATGGGGAAGAGATAAAGAGTAATCTGCCTTTCATGTATTTATTATATATATATATATATATATATATATATGTATGTATATTGTTTTCTTATTTACATTAAAGTTTTTACTGACCCTCAATTTTTTTCTTGAGCTAAAAGAAGCTTTAGTTTCTTTGTAAAAGTTGGAATATGATGATTTATGGTTGCTTAGATCTGCTAGGATCCTTATTGTGACATGAACAGGTGAGCAGGTCCAACTCTGTGGTCAACTACCTCATATTCAGCAACCTTCCTTTGTGTAAATATATGCTTAAGACTTCTGAAGAAAACCATAATCAGTTCAACTGCTGCTTCTGCTCTAAATGAAATCAAAATCAAGTAAAACCCTAACAATTAGATCTTTGCATTTTCAACTTGAAGGTCTAAGGTTTGAACCTTGTGAATGTGAGGCTAGGGCTCATGGGAAGGGAGAGGGCCATCTCCTTTTCTGTAGCCCACCTCTATGTGTATCAAAAAGAAATTGAAATAAATGATGAAATTATTTTATATTATATTTTGGGTTGGCCACCATAATTTCCTTTGTTAAACTTTCTCAACTTATTCTAGCAGTGTTTTCTCCTTTGTCTTTTACTTTTGGTGGGCCAGCTTTTGAACATTTCCAATATGGGGCAGTTAATTTGGTAAATGTTAATATTTACTATTTTCTCTTATTTTCATTTTGAATAGGGGAGTAATTAAAATGTCAATATATTGGTTGCAAGCGTATTTAAAAATATCTTGATTTTCCTATCATGGTCTTTGTGGTACGTTAGCAAACCTGAATGCAAATCGTGTTATGTGTTCTTATAACACTCACTGTTCAGGTGAAAAGAAGAAACATCGCAAGGAAATGATTGCTGTGAAGCGTCGTGAAAGAATGCTTCGTCGGGGTGTTGATCTTGAGCAAATAAATTCGGTAAAATGAAATACTTTTACAAGATTTGTCAACCTCTTGTTTCCTTTTATTGTTTCTGTGATGATTATTGATGCCATTTGTTTTTCTCATACCATACTTATCATGTCTTGTTTGCAGCACACTCTCATAGGTTATGGGTTTGTGCCATAGTTAATGTTCTTATTTTTCTTTATTCACCTTTTGGGGTTTCTTAAACCAAATTTAAGGTTTGAGATTTTTCATTTAAAATTTTAGATGTTTTTATACATTATTAATAGTTGTAGCGAATTGCGTTATCCCAACTTGTGCTGCAAGTTAAAGATTTTGATTAGGTCATAAAATATTTGAAATAGATTCAGAAAAGTTACACATGTGAAGAAATAATGAAAGAATGTTATTTAAGTGATCCTTTTTTCTCTTCATACAAGAGAAGGAACCAAGTTGCACAGGAACAACTAGAAGAAATATTGTGCTGGTTTGACTTTGCTCCTATTCCACTAACATAGTCACATTAACATATGTAGCTGATTGTTCTTTTTTCTTTTCTTTTCTTTAATAGTTTAAATGAGGAGAGGTGTGTGTAACTTTCTGAGTAAATTACGAAGCAACTTGAAAAAAGGTGATAGCAATCAAACAATCCATCAACTTGATTATTAGGTATAGCAAACATTAAGGTTGAGAAATTGCTTCAAAAGTCGGTGAATAATTGAGCAAGTCCATTAACATGCATATATTTGCTTCTGATTGTAGTCTAGCGTATAAGGTTTTTGCCCTCTTTGGAGGATTCAAGAAGTAAGCTGAGGTAATTGTAGGTGGAAAATGCTACCATTATGTTTGAATAGGTTATAAATGTCATGATTAAACAATGGACAGATGGACAAAGTTTTAAAAGGCAGAATATCATGTCAGTGGGTTCACAGTATGCACTTAATATATAGTCTAAAAAAATGTGAGTCTTTTTAATGTTTTTATTAGAAAAATGAAGGTTTAAATAATTTAACTAGCACAAAATGACCTTTGCTTTTAAGACCTTACTTAAGATATGGTCTAAAACTAGGACACAATGGCAAACTCTGATCATGTAAGTGACTCTGCATGCTTGGTTTGTTCTTGTTGTTAATTAGAACAGAGAAGGATCATGAATAATCGTTAGTAGTCTTGTTGATGCTTTAAATATAAAAGTCCTTATTTTCTAGCGTCAAGAAAATTTCTTTTCTCCATGTGCTTAGAGAAGCAAACTACTTGGCTGATTCTCTCGCCAACTCTGGTGTCCTTCGCAACACTGACTTAGGAGCTTGGATCTAATTGTATCTCCACCTTTCCATCGATAAAAATATTTTCAAGTTTCAAAAAATATATATATAAACCCCTAAACTTAAAATTAAATAATCATCTAAGACTATCGTTTTATTGCAATCAATTGAACCCTCAAATATATATTTTCATCCAATTGAGTGCTTAATTGGATGGAAATTGGTTGGCCATCACTAATTTTTGTTCAATTGAGGATTCAATTAGGTGAATAGATGTTTGAGAGATTAATTGGATTAAAGTAGATGTTTGAGGGTTCTATTGATTGAAATAAAACGATAGGGGCTTGGATTATTATTTAAATTTTAGTTCAGGGGATTTTTTTTTTATATTAAGCCTTAAATAATTCTATCAGAAGTGGATAATGCAAACTAAATGTTAAATGGATGGTGGATGACCAGTACAGTTAAATGATTTAAGCATGCCCATCAGTATTTCTCAGTATAACTTTTTTTAGTAGCTTTCACAAATCTTTTGATTTTTGTAGGCAAGATTTAGTGTTATTAATGTCTTATATCACAAAAAATCAGTAAAGAATTTGTTATTCAATCAATGTGTTAAATTGGGCATACATCTACTGTGAACAATAAACTCTTGGACAAGAAAATAAGAATGAGTACCATGAGATATAAATGTATGAGAGGGACATTTGGAGATTTAGGATGAGGCTTAAACTTTGACTTTCACTCTTTAGCTTGGATGAATATTAAATGGGAAGTATCTTATAATTCATTTTTCAATGTTGAAAGGCTAATAGCATAATTAACAAATAAAGTGTTATATTGTGTTTATACAAATTAAATTCGAAGTTATGGAAAATTATACTACTGAATTTTGTAGCTAAAGGAGATGAAAGTGGTCCGTTTTTATGTACTATATACAGCAATGCTCAGAGATGAGGGGAATTATTGAAGGAATTATCAAATGTATATTAAGTTATTAAATGCATATTAGGTTATCATGGCTGGTTAAAGACATTAACAGCTCCATTTATATGATGAATTGTAGAAATTAGAGCAGCTTGTTTTGGATGGGATCGATATGTTTGCTTTTCAACCCATGCATCATCGAGATTGTTCTCAGGTATGGTCCTATGGTTCACCTTTTGCAGTTGGGAATTCATGTTCATATTCCACCTCCCCTCCCACTCTTATTGCTCTATAATTTTTTCTTCAATCTTATGGGCATGTATCATTTTCGCCATGAGACAAGGAGATTCAAATATTATATGACAATTTAAGTTAGTGGAATTGAATGGCTTGTTCTCATTTTACCAAATAAGGGATAAGGTTTATTTGGTTTTAAACTAAGGTTTATGGCTGGGAAATGAATGTTAGTTGAAATGGAGAGCAGATTATCCACCAGCTTATTCTAAAAATCAGACACCAGTTAAAATATCAGCAAGAAGTTTCTACTACTTATAGACATGTTCTAAAAAATTTATCAATGTTTAAATATGGTTGGTTTGCTATCCCATCAGCTGAGTTCGCTCATTAGGAAGTGAAAAAATGAATTGCCTTATTTAATTCTAGTGCCATATCCCAATAAGGCCTTCATGTTTTAGGATGGTAGGTGGTGCACAATAGCTTGTAACCTGCTGGCTGTGAGATATAACATTTTTGGAGCTTCCAAAGCATGTGCCAGCTTTGTTTCTTCCTCTTAAAAATATTCTCAATCAAAATATGCTAATGCTAGGGAAATCAGAGGCATTGCTTCATCTAACATTGGTTAGGCATAAATCTGTCTATGTTTGTATCTTAAGTTATGGCTAACAAAACATGTCTAAATGTAGGTAAGTAGTAACTTTTCTTTTATTCTCTGGTCATTGTTTGGAATAGTTTGCTTATTTTATGGTTTACAAATGCTTGTGGTAATACTTCAATGCTTGAGCGGTGATTTCCTTTTTATCTTGTGATATTGGCCTTGTTTAATCATCATTATGGTTCCTTATCTGAAGTTCTCATTCTTTTTTCATCAAGTACATTTCGAGCATTTGGAATACTTTCTGCAATTCCATAATTCAACTTAGCCCAAAATACGAGTTTAAATTAATATTAAAGTTTGGGAAGTTAGTTTCTTCAATCAAAACGAAGGCCAAGCAAAGAAAATATTATCAGCACTGTCAAAGAAGATAACTTGTGCGATGAAAAATGTTAGTTAGCCATTGAACTCATTACTCATGTATTTAAAGGGAAAAAGGCCTGATTATTTTGTAATACAAGTATTAAAGAATCCTGCTTTGAAATTCAATGTGGAGCTCTGACATAAATCAACATTAAAGAAAGGTTTTTATCTTCATTTTACCAAGCTAACAACTGCATACTGCTGCTATTGGAGTTTATTTGATGTGCTTTAGGTATCTGTAGGTACGAAGGGTAGCTGCAATTTACCGCCTGTCTAGCGGATGCCATGGTTCTGGCAAGAAAAAGTAATTAGTATTCCTGTTGCTTGAGCAATTGTGCATGACGTAGAAATGGAATTTGGTGTTTAAACCTGATGCCATTTCCTTTTACAGGTTTGTTACAGTAACACGCACACAATACACGTGCTTGCCATCTTCCAGCGACAAACTTCGCCTGGAAAAGGTTCCAAATTACTTTTTAACTACATTCTTAAGATTTGCACTTCAAGCAGTGGATTTTGCATTTATATATTATTATTATTAGCATTGTTAGCCCTCTCTAAAGTTTAGGTATGTAATTGGATAGTCTATTAGTGACAATTTAGCGAACCTATAATTCTTTTTTTTTTCCGTTTGCAGCTAATAGGAGCAGGCAATGAGGATGCAGACTTTGCTGTTAATGAAGGCTTTAATATAAAGGCATTGGATGCAGGAAGAACCAGAGTACAAAAGCTTGCTAGAGAGAGTGACTTAAAGAGAGCCAATTCTGGTAACATTGGTGAATCAAGTGAGAAAAGTGGGAAAAAGGTTTCATATGCAAGTCAACCTGTCTCATTTGTATCAAGTGGCCTTGTGCCATCAGAAACTGTTGAGGTCAAAGCTATGGATTCTGAGGCTACGACAGAAACCTGTGAACACAAGGGTCTCGGCAGCACATCACAGTTTGGTGCATTTGAGGTACATACAAAGGGTTTTGGATCCAAAATGATGGCTAAAATGGGATTTGTTGAAGGTGGAGGGTTGGGAAAAGATGGTCAAGGTGTGGCACAGCCCATTGAAGTCATACAGCGGCCTAAATCACTAGGGTTGGGTGTGAATTTCACCAACACAAGCAGTGACTCGGAGAGGGTTCATCATAAATCCAGTGGAGCTTCTGACAATCGTATCAAAGGTTTTGGTGACAAATCTTTTGGAGCTTTTGAAAAGCATACCAAAGGTTTTGGATCCAAGATGATGGCTAAGATGGGTTTTGTTCAAGGTATGGGTTTGGGCAAGGATTCACAAGGCATTGTCAATCCTCTAGTCGCTGCTAGGCTCCCAAAATCACGAGGATTGGGTGCTAATCGTTAGACGTCTTGCCTTGAATGAATATACAAAAGTATAGACGCAGCAAGATTTGAATAGAACAGTTTCTTAGGTTATTCAATGTATTTGTAGTTCCTTGTCGTTTAGTAAATCATAACATTCACCTCACTTTCATGGTACGTTCAAATATTTTTACAAGTAATAAAGCCTCTTGGTTTCTACCGATCCTAGGTTTACAACTTGTTTCATTAGTTGTGGCTGGCTTTCTGGCCCTTTTGTTTCAATTAGTTCGGTGAAAAAAAAATCCCATGATTGGTAACTTTCTAGGATGGTGATATGGATTTTTATCCAGGTTGTTTGAGTCAAGTTGCAAAAGCATTTAATGACTTCCTGCATGCGTTTGGAGCCCGCCAAGGCTTTTTTTTTTTTTTTTTTTTTTTGGGCATGGTTAACTGCTTTCCCATGTGACAGAGGTCAGTCAGAAAATGTGAAAAATGGTTCTGAGCCAACCGCATAAAACTTCCTCGAGTCTTTATTATTGCTTTTGGTAAGGTCTCTGCATCATGGCCCGTATGATATACCTTTCATTCATTAGACATTCAATCAGAATGTTATTTCCAGCTAAGAAGAGGTGTTATTATTGGACAAGTTCACGTACATTAACAGCTAACTTAATTATAAAATGGAATTTTGGTTCCAACTTCCAAGCCATTTGATTGTAGAACATCATCTTCTTTTGGTGCTAAGTGACAGTGCAGTTTTGGTACATAGGAAGGACACATCAAGTGGTTTAACCAAAAAAAAAAAAATTCATACCAGAACAATCAAATTATATATATAAATATTATATATATATATATATATATATATTGTTGTTCTTCTCCAAGTTTCATTGTTACTTTCAATGTAAACCCACTTCGCTCACAAAGTGGGTAGAGTTAGATCTAAGCTACATTAAACTTACTTGTTGAGAGTCATTGATCGAGGTCTCCAAGTGAAGTAAAAATAAATAAATAAATATAAATAAAATTTACCCATCCATTTCTTCAATAGCAAGAAATCGATCCAACGACAAATCAAGAAATTTTCAGTGACCATTACTCTTTTTGTGGTTTTTATTTCATATACTTGTATTATGAATTGCAAAATAAATTATAGCCATCCTTTCGCTCTTTGTTTTAAGCTTAATTCAAAGATCTAAAATTATACGTAATGATGAGAGGAATGAACAATTGAACATGGGAATGCATGACATTATTTTTGCCGATAAAACTTTAATTAGATTTCTCCAAGGGTCAACTCATCTCTCTAAGCTTATGGCTTTACCCATATTTGAGAAAATTTAGATAAAAATATAAAACACATAAAATTAAGATTTTTAATATAGTACGGAATAATGTTTTAGATTTTTTTTTTTAATGTGACATGTATGATATCAATTATTTTAGTATATTATTTCAAAATTTTTAATTTAATATAAATATATTTATAAATATACAAGAATTTATACATAATAATATTATTAATAAATTTCAAAATAAATATATAATATTTTCAAAAATCACATAAATACATTTAAAAATATAAGAAATAATATTATACATTTTTCATGATATTTTCAAATGCTTAATTTGATCATATGATATTTAAATAAATATTTTTATGTAAATATTAATATAAAAGCAAAGAGATGTAAAAAATTAACTTTGATTTAATGATCATTAAACTTTATAAAGGAAACATAATTACTTTTTTTAAAGAGATTGAAATACTTATTATCTTTGATTTGAAAAAATAAAATATTAAAGAAAAAAAGTTACAATAAAAAATAAAGAAACTCAACTTTTAAACATTATTTTGTCAACAATTTTATTTTTATTAGGTTAAAAATAGTCAAATAATAAAAAATAAATTATAAATTATAAAACATATTTTATATTCATGTACCAATTGAAATAAGTTAATTCACCGAAATTCATTAAAATTAGTCAAAATTAATAAAAACAATTAATATTACTCGATATCAAATTTAATATGAAAAATCATCTTTAAATATTTCATATTTTATTATAATTAGAGTGTATCAATTGATAAGACCGATATCAAAATAAAATTAACAACTATGTGCTAAATGCATTTGAGAAAAAGCCTGAGGTGAGTTAGACTTTGGACCCAAACTTTTAACATCTAAGATTCTGTTTGGCAGAGAAAACAAAAAAGATTAAGAATAATTTATTAATTTAATAATTAAAATTCATAATCAAATTCCTATTTTATAATTTAATTATTAAATTAATATATTTTTTATTTTTCATTCTTTCCACTCTCTCTATTAAGCAAAACCTAAATCTATTTCTCTCATTTTTGTAATTATATAATATTTAAAATATACTTAATTTTATGTAAAGGATATATAATATTTTTATTTTTATTTAAGAAAAGTTATTTGGCCCAACACAAGATTTAATAATGGACAAAATTTATAACTTAGAATTAGAATCGTCAATAGACAAACACATAAAATATTAATATTATGTTTAGACTCGTTCAACAATTTCTCTAACTTCAACTGAAAAAAGAATTCAAACTCCATTTCTATATCTCCTTTTCTTTTTGTTTATCAAGCTTTATATATTTAATAAATTAATCAAAATTAATTATTTTTCGGAACGTTGGAAAAACCAAACAAGTATAATTGTAGTATAATGTATGGTTCATAATATAGTAAAAAAACCGTAAACCTTCCATAATAATAAAATAATCTCGTATAAATGATAAAAGAATAAATAAATAAGACATATCATTATAATTATTACAGTGTAATTAATAAATCATAATTTAATATCATGTAAGATTTATTAAAAAATTATATAAAATCCAAATTTTTAAGTGATGAATTTTATATAATTCTTAATTATGATAAAAATTATAATTGAAATACTTCTAAAAATATATTAATGCCAATGATTTGAATAAGACACGTACTATTTAAAACTTTTTTTTTTCTGGATTTGACGATTTAGCACAACCCTCATAATCTACTTTCCTTCTGTAGATGTGTATATGTGAAGTTGTCTATATTATCCATTAATTGCTTCATAATTAGGATCTCACAAATGCATTTCTTTTTCCTTTTTAAGCAAATGTATATATATAAGTCACACTCTAGAGAATTAGAGATGAAATCTTAAGCAATGAGGATCCAATCCCAATTGTAGGAAAATTCATCTCTCTAAAAAATTGAATGTATCATTTAGATTAAATTTTAAATTCATTAAAAGCCTTTCTTTAATAAAAGCAGTCCACGTCAATTTGACACAATCAATGCCTTAATCAATGGCAAATTAACCATGTTTGTCCAAGCATGTGTGACTGCCTGATTTAATTTGACCATAACATGAAACATTTACATAATTACAATTCATTTTCACCGGTGCAAGAAAAAAGTGTGATCCATATGGTAAAACTATGGGAGATGGGGATGACCAACAGCATTTGGATTTTGAACTTGATTGAATATTTGACTTGGATCAAAGAAATTTTTTAGCCTCTTGTAATTTTTACTATTTTCATTTTACTTTAAAACTAGTAATTAAAGAATTTATTTAAGTTTTTATATGATGAATAATTATCGTAATTAATCAAATTAAAATAATATTTTATTAAATTATTTATATTTATTTTAGAGCAAGATCTTTTTCAAAAGAATAAACAGTAAAAGTTATTAAAAAAATAGTTTTTAACCTGTGGCACAGAATTTTCATTTTTCATAATAATATTTCAATTAATTAAATTTTCATGATCATTTTGTATTTAGATAAAATATTTTGTGGTCAAACATTAATTATTACCGATATTTCAATCAATGATATTTGAAATTTTAAAAGTTTAATTATAAGAAAAAATTTTAAAAATTCTTGCACTCTAAAACGAAAAATAATTAAAACTTTAAACTAATAAGAACTAATCAATAATAAGAAACTATAAGTTAACTCTAAAATTTTTGGAAAATATTTTGGTAATGAACATGAAATTAAAATAGAATAATTTTGATACAAATATTTAAATTAAAGTAAAAATTTTTAATGCCATCAGAGTTGTCTTAAACAGCCTTACTCTAATCACTATTTAAAAAAAATAAAATAAATAATCTCAACCTAAACAATATATAATCACATTTCTTTTAAAATACAATATATAAATTCATTTTCTAAAATAATTAATAGAGTTCTTTTTTCTACTATAAAAAACAAGTAGAGAAATTAAATTATATAAAAAGAACTAAAGAAAGAGTAGTTAAAAACTCCATAAATTTTTAACACTAAGATTATAATAGAATGAGAGTTTCACGCTTTCACCATTCTTTTACTATTTATATTAAAACTTTATACATGCAAAACTATTAGAAGGAAAAAGTAAAAAAAGATTTTATGGTTTATTTTTTTATAAAAAAAAAAAAAGAATGACAGGCAAAAGCTACAAACTTTAAATATTTATAATAATGATTAGAAGACAAATTAATTAATATGGATATTTACTGTAGGTTGACATAAAAAATAAATATTTATAATTTATTTAAGTAAAATATTTCTTTTGAATTTTGAAATATAATTAATGAGACAAGAGTTATCCAAAGATAAAAAAGTATATTATTAAAATAAAATTTTTTTACCATCAAATTAGCATGATTTTAGGTTGATTTGATTTTGTCTAAACATTTAATATTTTCTAAAAATAAATATAGCCATAGTAGGTAAATTTATCACATATTTGAAAGACAATAAATGTAATTAATTCAGTGAAATTTAGTTAAACAAATTAATTTAGGGGACCTAGGGTATTTGTTTAGTCAGGCACGTGTAAAAAATTAGGTCATAATAATTATCGTTTTATCAAATATAAATTTATATGATTAAAATAATCACACTTAATAATCTATTAAAAGAAGCAATAGAAGTAGAAAAATAAGAAATTTTTAATAATGAGTCCAGACTCATTTTTTTTTAAATGTAATTTGTATAAAATAAAATTAATAACTTTAAATACAATATAATAATTCGATATAAAAAAGACAAAAAAATTGATACAATTTAAAATTTTTATAAAAATCATATATGAATTTGATATAAATAAAAAATATGTTTCATATTTGATATGTCAATAAAAATTATAATATGATAATTTTCTTTTTTTATGCGTATTTGATATGAAACAAAACCAACAAA